GAAAAAAAACGCACCACAACAGGTGGAAGCGACCACAGCTTTGTTAGGCGTGACGCTCGTTTCGGAGCACGACACCTTGGGCAGTTCCAACGGCAGTCACCATCCAAGGTCTGAAAAAATAATTTATCAATCTACTGCGTATCGCTTGCTGCACAGGGCGCATCTCCACTCAATCGCCCCTGTGTGACCGTTTGCTAACCGAAAGATCACGTTTTGAAATAGATTTATTTGAATTTGTTTGTTTCGCATATAAGTTGATTTTGGTCGCAGTACGCCATGCGAAAGATTTTCAAGGATGCTAGTTTATGAACAGAATCGGTTCCAGGCGGAACCCGCACAGGACAAGTGCGCTATAAGTGAGGCTACGCTAGTTACGTTCATAACTAACATTCTTGTGGATTTATTTGACCTTAATTTGTGAGTCGAAGTCATCAGTACTGGTTTAAAGACCCGCAAAATAGGTGTTTGACGTGACGCACCAGCAAACATACAGGGGGGGGGGCCAAAAAAAAAAAGACATTTTGCCTATGTCGGACTTCGGCTCTTTTTTCTTCGCAGAGATTGCTGTCGTTGACGGGAGTTCCTCAGCAGAGTATTCCCTAAGTGTCCCTCTATAAGTGTACGCAGGCCCTCCTTCACTGCCCTCACCGTCTTCAGAATATGACGTCATCTGTCACCGTCGTCAGGCTCAAGGAGGTCTACCGTAAGAGCTTCAGCCTGAAGCTCTTACGCAATTTCGTGAATCGATTTAATGTTGGATAGTTTTCTAGAGGCATTAGCTACCACTGTGCAAATCCCCTCGAACTAGCTTTCCAGTAAGGGTCGTTATGGTACACGATCCTTCGAAGACCCCATTGAGATCGACCAGTGCACCATGTTTCCAGGGCTAATTCTTCTGATGCCGTCCACGTACGTGGCCACTATGAAGATTTTCTTATAGAATGGAATGCACTCTTTAATAATAAGTTGGAACCGTTCGGTCTGAGTTGAGTAAAATGTGCTTAAATCCATCTGGAAGTGGAGGCAAAATGTCTTTTTTTTTTGGCCCCCCCCCTGTATATGCAATTAACTCATAGCACGGCGCTCGTCGAATCGTAAAAAGGCGCACGCGACCAAAAAGGAAAAACATTGGTAGGAAAGCAAAAGGATGGAACGAAAACACTAAAAGTGATCATTTAGCCAAGACCAACGGAGATGCTCGGGCAATTTGGAAAAACATCCAGCAGAAGTAGAACAGCATCCCGTTTCATCAAATGACAAAGTTTCTAACAAAGAGATCTTCACAGAACACTCCTTTTGGGTGCGAAATATGAGCCAGTTCCGGACAACACAAATCGAGAGCATGTATCGTTTGCCCTTCTCATACCATTCGCATATGAGGGGACAACCACAATATTTTGCCATGCATAACTGTGGAGTAAGTTTGCTGTAAAAGGCCTCTTTGTTGACGTGACAAACTGGGAAACACTTGTCCCCACCAGTGGCCGAGATAGATATTTCTTCTACGTGAGAGTTACTCTACTCGAAGTAGAATCAAAATTGCTAATATACCTCACGTCTCGAATTACACTCCAAGAGTATTCGACGAAAGAATTTCCAATGAACAGAATCAAAAGTGGAAAAGAAAACCACTCACTGTCTGCGAGAAATGACTGCTAAGGCACTGATGCAAGCTCGTGCGAGATGCATGAACCGGTAGTTCCACAGTTATCAAGCTGCACTCCTCGAATGTAGCAGACTGTTCACCACATGCCGTACAAGATAGCTCAGAAACGGTTTGCAACTGAAAAAAGCTTAATAAGTAACTCTTCTGAATCGGAAATATTCTCATTGTATATCTGCTGCTGTGGCAAGCAAATAAGTGCTGCAACCGGAGCTTATACGTTTTCGTGTAGACGAACTCACATTGAAAATCTCGTTTACCGGTGAGAACGAAAACTTGAGGCTTTTCGATTTGTAGTCCTTAGCGTCATTCATTATTTGTGATCCTCCCTTGTAATTTTGCTCAAACGACACTCGCTTTGTCACCTGAAGACATAAGGAAACACCACTCTATTCCACTGGTAAATTGTGAGACGACAAAAACCTAGAAATTACTTTATACGCTCTCAATAAACTGACTAAATCAAATACCTGATTGGTATCTTCATGAAGAGCGTCCAGCAGGAATAATTGAAATTCAGATGCATCATGTTGGTGACCATCAGCGAGGACACGAGTTTACCTCACTAGCGAACAAGCGCTAAAACAGCGAAAACGACTAGAGCAGTTAATAGGCTTAAATAAAATTGCTAATGTTCCAAGAGGCTCAGCACAGTAACTGAAAGACGCCGCGCCGCACTGCAATCCGAAATCGCCTAGACCGAACAAACCTCCTATCTTCCCAGTGCCGGCTTATTACTCAGTACCAGACTAGAGGCCAAAACAGCTTGGATATCGCCCCCCCCCCCAACCCCTCTTTAAGCGTGATCTCTTTAATCGCATGGTAGATAAACAGTCAAGTGCCTCGAAGATTGCAAAGGGAGGATTAAGCTGTCAAACTGTCAGTCTCTTGGGTTGCGTGGCGCAATCCAGAACCGCTTGGCCGCTTCGATAGTAAGCCGCAAGGCTTAAAGGCAGAATTTGCAATGGAAAAGCGTGGTTTGCCATCAAAAAATGCAGCTGGGTGACATAGATGGCGAACCGTCAATAAAGTAAAAAAAGCCCAAAATCAAGCAATCATAATAATATCATGTCGCGAAAATATAAATTACGCAGGCTTGAT